AGACTACTGTTCCTTTCCCTAAAGAGTGAGTTGGATAAAAATATCTCACATAACAACACACATTTTCTCTCTCATCCACACATGCATGCAGGCCGACAATCTGTCATCTACACACTGAAGTTCACCCACAGGCTGGCATGTATACAGTCACATATGTACACAAACACACAAACGTGTATATGAGGCCCTTTACTGAAAGATGTTACACATACGTGCTCCCAGTGTGGCTTATTAGCACCTCATTACAGCCAATTCAATCGATGGGATGGGTAGAACACAGATGTGCAAATGTTGACACACACACACACACGCACTAACTGTAGAGCATGTTGTTAGTTATCTGTGGAAGGAAGATTTCTTATCTATTAAAGTCTTAGTAAATTTCCATAGTCAGGTTATGTTGCTGAAGATGAGCATATTTATCTAATATAATGTTTTGCTATGTTAATAGTTTCTTTATGTATGAACACTTTAAAGAACAATATCAGTTTATTTTTGTCTCATATTTATATGGATAAACAATTTGCTTAGAATTGTAAATTTGGGCAGGTGAATTTTGTAAAAAAATAATACAATGTCATTACGTCATTATGATACAAATCTGTTGAAAATCAATGTACTGAATAATTTTCTGTATACAAATCCATAGTTTATAGTATCTAAAAAGGAAAATGTCAAGTTATTACCAAAGACTTTGAAGAGCTACTCCCTCATTTTACTATAGTTAAAAAATACAAGTAGTTTTACAAAGCAGCAAAACGATAAAGGTTTTCACCTTCATTTTTACCTCAAAATAATTTGGCTTTAACTGTGGATTTAACTGTTGATTTGTTTGTCTGACAGCTTACTAAGATAGTCCGCATTATACAGCTGTGACTCTCAGTACATCCCCGGGTCTCATCAATTGAAGTGGAGAATAAAATGTTATTATAACCAACAGAAATGGACGGGAGCCATGGAAATAAGTCCCAGGTTGAAAATAATGGAATGTTCTTTAAACATTCTTGTCCCATGTACCAGTTCACCTGTGCGCACATATATATATGTGTGTGTGTGTGTGTGTGTGTATGTGTGTACGTGTGTAAATGGCAGGCCATCATCCATTATAACAGTGCCGTAAGTGGACCATCAAGCATTTATCTCAGCAAGCAGCAGAGTCCATTATTCAACCATGTGTCACATCTGCGGAATGGGGGTCAAGTCCAGCTGTGTGTGGGTATGTATGTGTGTGTTAACACTGCCAAATTATCTGTGAATAAGTACAAGTTTAGCATCTGTCAGCATGGAAGCACTCAGGACTCTCAAGTGTGTGTGTGTGTGTGTGTCTGTGAGTGTGTGTTTGTGTGTGTGTGTCTGTGAGTGTGTGTGTGTGTGTGTGTTTAGAGACTGAAAGTCCACTGCAAATACACGCACACACACACACACACACACACACACGTACACTTCAGACCACTTGGCCTTGTAAGAGCCTACCATGGGCAGTGGAGTCCATTCCCTGGGCTGACATCAGCTACTAATCGCCTCAGTTCTCTTGTCATAGACTAAGCCCCTGAGGGTGCAGTATATTGTCTGGAAAGAGCATGTGTCCTTTTGCTGTCTCAGTGTGGAGATTCATTATTTATTTCTTGACTTTCTAGACGAGGTCGAGTGGATGGGTTTTAGATCCTAATAAATCAACAGTCACAGATGTGCATTTTTAAAATTCTCTGTTCTCAGGGAGCAATGTTGCTCACAAAATCAAATTGTGGTGCCTGTCTTTTGTGTACAACAACAACAATTCTATCTACAACACATTCTCACTCCCCACTCATCATATATTGACGCTTGGTCAAGGCCCTTTGCCGTCACCTTTTAACGACCTGGGCACCCCTTTAGTGTTATTTATTGACGTGTAGGGCTCCAGGGTTAGACTTTCAAAATAAAACGCTAGCGTTTCGAAACATCGCCATTTTGAAACAGCTCGTAAAGTTGTGAAACGTTGCAGTTTGGTTAGGTTTAGGTACAAAAACTACAAGGTTAAGGTTAGGCAAAGATCATGGTTTAGGTTAAAATGACTATGTATGTCAGTTAACACGTAAGTTTACTACCGTCACTTACGTCAATTTACATAACTTGCCTAAATAAAACTATTTAATGTTGACTTTTTGTTTCACACAGGAAACTAACCCCTGTCTCCTGGTTCAAAGTCTGGGTTCTGGCCCTCGATCCATCCATCCACCACAACCACCTCCTTAACTCAGTCTTTTCTGTTAAATATCATATACCTACCTTTATCGTCAAAAACTGACGCTACAGGGCTTCCCCCACTGTGTTGAACTATGATGCTATAGGGATCCCCAGTGCGTTACAAACTGATGACAATGGCACTTGACCATACGTCCATATGTGACGAGTCAGGGAGTGACGGGTTGCTATCTACCAAATTTTTTCACTTTTTACATCCCACTAACTATACTAAATAAGTAAGGATCAAAGCGCAAAGGTGTTGTGTTTAATGTCTTAATTAATCATAGGTGTGTGTGTAACATGAATTAATCAGTGTCATCCCCCTTTCCTTTTAAAAGCCAAGTGTGTGCGCAACTGCTGCATTGCTATTTAAATGGTGGATGAATGGCGCATTATCACATTATAAAAAAACATCAATTAATACATTTAGGAGGGGGGCATCATGACGTGTGAGAGAAAGGGAGTGTGCGAGTATGGACAGAAGTGTCAATGGGATATAAAAATTTTATTTGATTTGTGCTTGTCTCCTCTGGGAAACGATGCACTGCTTTGTTATAAACTATGATGAACTACTGTGGGTCTTCCAGGTGAATTTTTTAGTGTGTGTTGTATTAATGTATGAGTGTTTTCTCACTTTCTTACTTTAAGGTTTAGAAAGGCTGCTGACAGTCATTTAAACGATTCCATTCCAATGGCCCTATCTTACACCTAGTGCTGGGTGTAAAAGAGGACTTACACCTGGCACCGGTTGTAAGATAGGACCCTTAAGGTTAAGGCAGGGCTAAACTAAAACCTCCTTAGTTGAGGTTAAGGTGAGGTTTAGTTAATGTAAACCATTCTACCATGACCTCCACATCTGGTGCAGTGGATAAAACACATTGCTTTGGTGTGAGAGACCCTGTGATCACTGTGACACATCCACCAATATGTCCCCGAGCAAGACACTTAACCCCTAGTTGCTCCAGAGGCGTGCAACCTGTGATATATATATAGCAATTGTAAGTCTCTTTGGATAAAAGCTTCAGCTAAATGAATATATGTAATGTAATGTAAATATGTTCAATGTCAAACAACTTCTTTAAAATTAAAAAGCGCAACTTAACATAAATTTACAAACCAAGGATTTCACAGAGATACAGGTTGAAGTACAAAGATTTGCAGCTTTAAAAGCAGGCTGGGTTTTTATTAGAGAAATATGACTCCAAAGCGATTGCTACCATGACGGGAACTGAGAGGATTGTCTTTGAGCTCAGGATAGTGTAGGTGGAGATATTTGTGAACCGTCACATTTCATTCCGGAAGATATTACCACATATCTCCCTCTTAATCTCCCAACTCTGTTATATTTGTTGAAGCCAAACATATAATTTATGATCTACAAAGTTGCACTAATTATTTATCCCTTTTTTTCAAATATTGGGGGCGGCTGGCTGGCTTGATTCTTGCTTCTGAAAATCCTCTATGATTGTTTGCATTTTGGAGAGATGTAATCAATTATGCCAACGTACTCCCACTATAGAAAGCAGCAGAATCTGGAGCACTTTATCTTTTTGTTTGTCTGACTTTCTCTTTTTCTTTTTAATGGAAAATTGACTGCAAGTGTAGGCATTTTTGCAAACAACATAATTATTGACAATGCATCAACAGCAAATGACTAAGGAAGTATTGGACGGACAATCCAAAGATCTCTCACTATACTGAGGCAATGAGAGGAAAATTATGATGCAATGAAAGTCTTCACAGATGATGGAGCTATGGTATTTGTTTTAAATGTGCACTTTTTACAAAACAAAATAAATAAATAAATCTGAAACCACAGATGACGTGCAATAATGATGTAAATGCACAGATGACTTGAAATAAATAATCAAATATATCAGAGAAGGTTTACCAAAAGCATCTTACATTAACTAACTTGTCTCACTGTTAAATAATAATGATTTCAAACATCACATGTAGCCATTTTAAAAGTCCCATTTACACCTGAATATTTTGCTCAAACATCACTGCACTTATTTCCTACAATAAAAATTCAGCCATCATACAGAAAACAGATGAATACACGCAATTGATGCTAATATGGTGAAGATGCAAAACAAGTGCATAAATGAGGACTTCTATAATGGCTTGCATTAGATTCTCAAAGGAATAGGAAAACTTAAATTTCACCCACTTAGTGACACAGATCTGGGCGATAAATCACAGCGAGAGAAGCACAAACTCCATGTGGTTTCTCAGTGCTAAAGGAGAAAATTACACGAGTGCCACAGAGATTAAAGTATTATGTTTTTCATGTTTCACACTCTTACAGAAAAAGGATGTGTAGCTCCCAAAACATATTTGACTGTTCCTTAGGCCAGCACATACTGTGGCTCTTTTTAACAATTTTGAGATTTGTAACCACATCAAATACAACTTGAATGCGCACGCTGTCAGCACATTATTGCTGTTAAAAGGTAAGGCAAGGTGTGTGCTACCCCAAGCTAAGTTAGAGTTTTATTCCAAATTAGATACTTGTTATTTAAAGAGCTCAAACAGTGAGAGGTAGCAAAAAAAAAAGAAAAGATAAATAGCCTAAATTGGGTTGAAATGTTATTTCCCTGGAGTTTAACTTTTCAATCACAGTAATACTGGAAATACCACATCCATTTTCCAGGTGTAGCCTTAGTCATAAGATGCATTTGGAAAACTACTGAAAGCCAGAAGAGGCAAGGTGAGAGTCTCAGTGAGGAACGGAGTGGATGCATTGATGTCTAGAAGTGAATATACAATACCCCACGCTCAGAGTTCTCCATGTGTGAATCTCTCTATCGGAGCAAGGGCAAGGCAGGTACAGGACAGGACAGGGAGGGGTGGAGCAAAGACAGGAAACAGGAAGATATAGAAAGACATTAAAGGGTGTGAGACTTGATTTAGAAAGGTTGTGGTGAAAAACCTGAGAGATCTTTTTCTTTTTTTTTATCTTTTTTTCAATTCCCTCAATTCATTTTTCAATTAATTCCCTTTTGTTATTGTTTGGTTGACACTGACCACACCGAAGCAAAATGCGGACCTAGCTCTGAAAGCTGCTGCCTCTCTTTTCCAGCATTGCTGTTGTTTTCACTAGCTATGGTAAAATTGCTTACAGCATTTTGTTCTCAGCCTGAATCCATGTAGGCAAAAAAGCTGTAATTTTATTATTTTCTGGCATATATCCAGTGTCATGGCTGTCTGATACAGACAATGAACTCACCGCTGAAACATTTGTACTCCCATTCTCTTTGTTTTGCATGGCTGTGACAATCACAATCCTTTTTTGCTAATCCTTTAACATTAAGTTTAAACTGTTGCACATTGCAAAACACACACTGTTGTGTCTATGTCTGGAGAACTGTGACAGGAGAACTGTGACAGGAATGAGTTGTGATAGGCAAATCTTTATCTGTTTTGGCAGCCGTGAAGAGGTCAGACCTGTCCCGTATGGGTTGAAAAGCAGACTTTGTCTTGCAGCATAAATCACCACTGTGTGCCAGTTTCTGGGATGTCAGTAGATTTTTAGCAAGGGTTAAGTGATGTATCAAGATAGAGAGTGTTTCTCAATTTCTCAAAGAGGGCCCCATAAAAACTTTACAAAGAAAACAAGTCTGGAGACGCAAGAAACATTAAGTTATTTCAGTCAATAGGACTGTAAAGAGAAGCTTAAAGCCATATTGAGTAGAAAAAATACATTTTACCCTATGTCTTTGAATTTGAAGAAATCCTGTCATCACTGATGATAGTGAAATACTATTGTCAAACTGTCTTAAATAATTTTCTTTTTCTTGTAGAGAGAAAACCAGTGATTTCATTTCACCAAAGTTAATAGTAGAATGTTGAGCAATTGTGAGGAGCGCTTCAATTAAATCCTTGAAACTTTTTTTCTGTTTAGCAAAAGGGACAAATTTATTTTTTTAATTATTCACTGGGAGGCATAAACTTACGATCACAACACTCATTTGACTGATGTACATTGCTCTTCCAGAAAAACAGCAATACAGTATTTAGTGACATATGAATTTAAGATAGTTTCAAGAAAGTGGAAAACCAACAGGATATTTAAGGGAGAAAATATCATATGAAGCCATGGGATGTTTGCTTATTAATGTTACGGTTGCTGTTGTTATACATACACACACATGTTGTTGAGAGAATGAGAGTGATTGGTAAGCTGGAATGGATCAGCAGAAAAGTAATGGATGCACAATTTGCACATGTTCTTGTACAATATTCACGCAAAAGCATGGTGCTCTGTATCTGCGTACACTTGGCACATGGTAAAACAAACTGAAAGAAATTTACAAAGAAATCATTGAGCTACTTTATAAAATACCATTTAAGCACAATTTTCCTTACAGCGCAATGTGTTTTAACTACTCACATATTCTAACTTTCAGCTGACTTATTTAAACTTTAATTTAGGATCAGTTTGAATTATAGTTATACGTTAGATTTTATTGTACTTGATAAAAGGATGCCACTTATGATATTTCCTTTCATCCAACGGCAACAACAACTGTGACTGTGTTACCTTCCCTTGCGCATTTACTTGTAAAATCACTGTTAGGATAATACTATACAGTATATACATTATATCCGTGGTAAAGAAATTAAGTTTCTCCAGTGGAAATCTAGCTCTTGTAACCAGGTTTCTCTAATCCTTTACACTAGAGGTGACCCCAAAGGGTTGAAGATTTCGATGCTTCATTAGGAGCCTGATTCGACTGCCAATCTCACAGTCGAATCTTTACAAAAACGAGGATCAAGCCATTTCGACAATATGGGAATGCTCAATGTCTGATTTTACATAGAACTACCAGTTTTCTCCCAAGAAGTTAATATATAGCCTATTATGATATAAATATCTACATATGATGCTGTAAAAAATAAATGTACAGTATACAGGACTATTTCATTTTATATGTATATATATATATATATATATATATATATATATATATATATATATATATATATATATATATATATAATGTACAGGATTAATGAATAGAGATACTTAGTTGGGGACAACCCTACTTTACAATGATTACAGGATCTGGATGTCTAATATACAACATGTCAGAAATCTGGTTGAATCTGGTGAACTCAATGACTCACAACTGAGAGCTACATTGCACAAGCACATTGTTTAGTATGCCTATTCTCTAGAATAACTAATTTCAATTTGGTAACACACACTCAGCTACTCAACCAGCAAAAGCAATATACATAAACCAAACCCTGTGCATCTGTATTTGTACTTATATCATTAACTGTACTAACAACATGGTTTTACTGTTTAGGACCATTTGATGAAAATGCTATAGGAAACTTTGCAAAACAATCCACTATCTAAGGTGGCCTTCTCTTCTTGGCAGACAATATAGCAAACATATTTAGACTCTGGTAGTACTGGGAAAGAATAGAGTGTATTTACACATAAGCATTCAGAAATAAATTAGTCTGAATTTAAAAAGGAAGTGTTACTATCAAGGACACTGAAGAGCCAGAAAGATGAGAAAACATTTTGGTCTGCGCTTGGCCGAGAGCAGTGTGTCTGTGTTTGCAACCATTTCTGTCCACAGACCCATCTGGAGTTCTCCCTCTTTCTCAATCTGTGTGTGTCCATGTGTGTAACAATCCATGGCTCTACCCCAGTCAATTTTGGCTTCAAATGCTTAATAAGCAATATCAGGGGGTCAACATACACACCCACACACATAAAAAAAGAGATGGTGATATGACACTGACCTTGATGACACCAGTATTTTACATCCAGCCACGAAAAAAAACAAAACAGTCACTGCCAGCTCTCTCTCTCTCTCTCTCTCTCTCACACACACACACACACACGATCTCTCTAACTGTTCTGCTAAATACACCAACAAAGTCATCACTATTAAAATATTGGACATTCTGTGCTTCAGATTTGCTTCTGTTTGTGTATGTGTTATGTGTATTTGTGTGTAGCTGTGTGGATTAATCTTTGTGTGTTTGCATGTACATTTACTCCAATGTGTATATCTCCTATCAAATCTGTGACTTTGCATGTGTGTGTGTACATTTACATCTTTCTTTCATTCGTACTGGAATGCCACATTTGCTTGTCAACTATAGCCATAGTTGTGTGAGTGCTATGCCTTTGTGTGTGTGAGAGAGAGTGTGTAGACAGATCTGGTGGCGACTAATATTTTGTCTAGCAGCATCAATAGCCCGTGGTAGGCCTACTGTGATTCAGATAACAAGTCATACTCCATCTACAGTCTCTATGCGACATCATGATTCGTTACATGCCAGAGCAGGCTCACAGAGTTATTTTCAGTCAGTTTCAGTAATTTGATACAGCCCTTTGTCATTTCTTTCCAAGAACCTCAACAGTCATTGTTTAACTGATGGGCAGAAAGATAGTCTTTCTGAACGAATATGCTGATGAACTACATCATCAGTTCCTGTTGACCCAGGACCCCCTGGCCCATAAGCCAGTGTTGCAGTGCTTAATGTCGCTGGCTGATCAAACACAAGCCTAGTGACTGCTAAAACTTGTAGACAGGATTTGATCATACTCTAAAAGCACTATATGCCACTCGTATCAATACAAGAACTACGAAGAATAATTTAATGTATTGTTATTGTTTCATTTAAACACTGTTTTGTAGTAATAAGTATACAAATAATCTCCATAATAATACATTTGGATGAGGTTTGGAATGAAACTTTCTGCACAAATGTATATTTAAGGCCAGAATACAAAGGATAATGTGAAAAGGCAGATTTTCAAAAAGCCATGAAGTACAAGCATTGCATTAGATGTCTGGATGTGCCTCACATAGCCAGGCTTGACCCAAAAAATGTATTTACTTGTTGGCTGATATATCTTAATTTGTTTGCTTTTTCTTTGAGCTGTTTACTTCTGAGCTGTCTTCTATCTTTTTTTTTTTGCTATCTACCAAGTAGGCCCATCAAGGTTGAGTCTTTTTTTTAAAGGTTGACCCGGTCATGAAAGCAGTAAAAAAGCTTCACATAAACTTAAATCACAAAACATGGTGGCAGGATCAGAATTCTAAAGAGCTTGGATGAATGGAAATAGGGGTGAAAAAAGTTTAAACAACATATTTTCCTTCAATTTTCAGTTTCAGAGACATCACCTTTTCTCAATTACTTAGTCGAGGGCTTCTTCACTGGCATCACACAAAAACTAAGTAAGTATGTAGGGAGCTTTAGGGACATTAATAATTCATCTATTCTCCTCTCAACCCTTTTATGAAAAGTGTATCTTCCGGTGCTAGTTGTTTGAGCCCTCGGGGCCACCTGGTTGTAGAAACATCAAATCCCCATTAAGACTTCAGCAATGTCCAGTGTTATTCACTTTTACATCACATTATCAGCAACATCGCAAGGCTTTTCCTTGAAAAATGAAGTCCATTTGGAACACATGTAACAGAGTTCTGAAAGATTAATTGGAGAGTTGTGTTCCACTTCCCGTCAAAGTTTTGTCAAGGAATAATTTATGGGCTCTGAAAGGCATGTAAAACACTTTAGATTTAGAAAACACTTTTTCTGCCAGCCGGACAACTGGCTAAAGTGTGAGGAATGAAATATAGATGATCCCAGAAAACAGCCTATGATATGGTAATAAACCTCTCACTGTCCCAATATATTTGTCTGCTCTCTTCTGTCTTCAAGTGCCTTCACTATCTCTTAGTATCATGTTATCCCTACCTTTTTTGGTATTTCCTTACTCTCCCTCTCTCTTGTGTCTCTCTTCTCTAGATTGGATACTTTCTCTCACTCCTATTTCCTCTCTGCAACTTCTTTTCAATTTCCTCTCTTTATATTCTCTCTGTTATGCCATGATCATTACCATATCTGCTTGGCTTTTTCTTTTCTATCTATCTCAATTTTACATGTGTCCCATGACTCCAATTGACCTGTAAGAGATCTTTAAACCTGACTGATGGCCTGGGTTAGCTTGAGTTCATATGAACATCTGAGCAGCATCTCAACTGCTTACTTCTTTACTTTCCCTTCTTCTGCATCATCACTCTTTTTCCTCTTTCTCCTCTTTCTCCTATATCCACTATGGTGGTGTTTGCCATCCAATTGGCCTTTTTATGTATATTATGCCCCGTTAGCCTACTTAGCATCTGATTAGCATATCCATTTGACCCCTGGGTTAACCAGTGCTGCCTTGTTTTCATTTTTTATATATTTAATACCTCATGTATTTTCCTCCATCCTCTCCTCTTTTCCTTTCGCTTCCCCATTATAATCATCCCCTGTATTCTCTACCTGCCCCCTCTTCAGAAGTCTCTACCTACACCTATCTTGTTACTCCTGGCATTTCTGATAGATTTTTATCCTCTTGGTGCTTGGGATATTCTCTGTTAGCCTCTGATTAGCATTGCCAACTGACCCTCTGCCCTCTCTGACTCCCCAACCTCTTTTGCTCTCTTGAAATGGCTATAATGTTGTTTTCAGGCTAGAAATAAAGTATCAGCCTGTTCCCCTCCCTGTATTAATGTCTTTGCACTGAGTGTTATGATCCCTTGTTGTTTATGACTAGGCCCAAGTACTTTGTGTGTCTGTGGTGAAAAACAAACAAACATTACACTTGGCTTTAATTGTATTATTAATATGTGATTTTATGCTAATGTGGCCTCATATCACTGTACCATATTTGTTTCCATATGTGGCATTACAGAAAGATATAGAATAGATGTATCTTGGAACATATACTATTTCCTTGCTGCACAAATGTCCAGTGTCCTGGTCTCCTTGACCAAATACAAAGCCCTGTTTTCTATCAACAGGGTGTGTAAATGCTATGAGTACTGTATACTGTGTTCCAAGATGCAAATATATACGAATGTAACTAGCTCAAAAAAATTCTCCCCAGGGGTAGTTTCCAGGTCAGGCTGATTCATACCATAGGCTATACACTAGATAATGTTAACCACATAACAACAACGTTTGATGTACCTAAGACATCTAAAAAGGTCAGAATAAAAAGACTTACAAATGATCTTGTTGACCTTTCAAAGTTTACTATGTGCTGACCATGACAACTCCCACATAGTGACCCATGAAAGAAAACAAAGAGTAAAGAGTAAAAAATGTCTCCCAAATACTGAAAATTTGTTCTGGAGAGTTGTTGATTGTTCTGGAGGTTATTAACATCCATAGTGTGTTCTTTTTTTATATTATTTTTGTTACATAAAATATTTCAGTTAGATTAGATTCTCTTTCTCAGTGTGGCTGGTTAACGTAGCATAAGTGGAGTAATTCAAAATTCGTTGTGGAGGAATGTCAGTATGAAAATTGCAGCTTGATAGATGAGCTGTGCTGGAAGGTCTTGATGGCTGTAGTATTAATAATAGCATGAGATGTGATAAATCCAACTTGAGCAATTTAAATTTTTTACACCTTCCTGTAGCTCTAGTCTAAGTTTTGTAGTGCATTTACAGTATGCTATGCTATGCAGTATGCTAATTACAAACATCACACAAAGTTCCACAATGTGGCTGTTGGTAAGCACTTGCACAGCATTTGCACGTATTGTGTTTTTATATTTGCACTATTCACACTACACTAAAGATTTTATTTTGGATTTCTCAGCAAAGTTTCAAGTGAAGTACGACAAAAACATAAAAAATGACCCAAAAAATTCAAACAAATGTGAGTCCTTGCAAAACAAAATGTATAAGCATTATGTGAGTGTGGTAGAGATGGATGGGACAATGGATGAAATGATATAGAGAATTAGAGAAAGTAAAAGGAAAGAAAGGCAGGTGATGGTGGCAAGCCAGTGTGCATGTTAACAAAGACACAGAAAGCTGTGTATGCCTGCTAACTGGAAAAAAAAAGTACTACAATTATATAAACTTTGGGCACCTAACATTATTAATTTTGCCTTTAAGCATTGGGAAGGATTAAGTACACCTCCTGACTTACTGCACAATTCTGACCTTTTATATTGCCTTAAGAAATGAAAAGAAGTTTGTAGCCTTCACAATTTTAACAATCAGAAAACATATAAAATGCTGATTTAATCCTCCTTTTTAAACATTCTGAGATCTCCTTCACCTCAAGATATTGACCTTCTCCCCACATTATAAAGAATGTTAAAATAATTAAAAGCTGTCCCAACCTATCTCTTTGTCTGTTTGTCCATACATTTTAATTTCTGCCTACATTATCAACTATGAGGACATTTTAAATTAAAACATTTTAATTTGAATGAGGACATTCAAATTTTGAGGTATATCCATTGATCTGTCTATCTATCAATCTATTCAGTTAAATGGTTTAAAGATGCTAAATGTAGGAGTATATTCATCAACACATACAGTTGTCCAAGTGCTTATTGTAAGATGATTGGTAGCCTCTTTCTTAATGCCAATTGTGCTTGTAATGCTGGCGTCTTTTAACTGTTTTTTAATCATTTGTTGGCTCTATTCACCACCTGCTGTCACCAGAAACCATGAAAGTTTCAGCTGAGTTTCTTGTGAAGGAATAATCCTCTTCCTGTTTTGTACCACAAAGCAAATCATTACAACTCAAAACTCAAAGCGAATATGGTCAAACTAATATGGTCTGAGAGAGGCTACCGATTATCTTGTCAGTGGGTTAAGGGAATTGCAGTGAACATACAAAATAGATGTGTTGATGATTAACTATTCTTAATGCTACACATAGCACCTTTAAGCTGCAACTAGGTCCTGATTTCAGGTTTTTTACCTACCTGCGTTTGAAGGTTAGGACGACGCCGAGGAGGATGATGATGAACATCAGGATCCCTGCAATGACTCCAGCCATTTTCACTGTGCTGTCAACCTGCTTCTCTGGCTCCATTGCATCTGAATCCTGGGTTGACGCACCTACACACACACACACACACACACACACACACACACACATACACACACACACACACAGGTATGCACATAGTCACATCGGTAGGCAACCACATACAAACAGACAGGCACATATTGTCAAATAGAAACACATGGGTTCAAACACACTCATCGACAAACACACAAATACAGTTAGGCACTCATGCATGCATACACACATAAATACACACTCATACACAGGAACATAGAGATGATGGTTTATCCTTGGCAGCCATCCTTGATAAACATACTCTCCCTTATATACAGTATATACACACACAAAACATACATATTAGTTAGTTACAAACATTAACACACTAGACATGCTTGATCCCAAGGTGAAGATATGCTGGACACTTCATCCATATGTTCGATTAACACAATGTGTTAAGACCATACAAACTTATAAACATCCTTGGGGGGGTGAACACGTTAGCAACATGCTAATAAATACAAAATGGTTTATTTTCAGGAGTAAGTGTGAAGGTTTTTGTTCCAAAAAGGAAATTTCAAGGGGATATTATTAATTACAGTTTAAGCACTTCTCAAAAGACTATGAGAACTCAGGCTTTAAACGGTAAATTTTCTGAAAACCAAATACTTTTTTTGGTGTTTTTCTTTTGCCAAATGTGAATATTTCATTTTGGAACAAAACAGTTAGACTCATTTGGAGGCGCCACTGGCAAAATGCTTTGCATCCTTGAACATCATAGAAAATCACATCCTGTAGCACAGGTAACATAGAATAAACCTTTTCAGTGAAATACAGCCATGCGGGGACCATGGACATGGGGAAAAAAAAATCTTGTTGCTTAAAAAATTTAAGCTATTTCATCTTCTATTTCAAATCAAGCAATCTACGCTAAAGATAAATAGATAAAAGGAAGTGGGTTTTTTTTCCAGGTTACAAACAACCAAAGAAGAAACAATGCACAAATGTAGAAGTTATAGAAAGACATCAAGGTTTTAACTCTATACATGCACATAGAAAATGCCGCACATGCAGGACTGGCTCTGTTTCACTCAACAATTCACTACCAATCAATACAAGGATAAAAACAAGTTGGAAAACAAATGAACAAACAGAGGGGATTGAAACCAAAACTTGGGCAAGGTGAATGCAAGGCTGGTGTGCAGTGTGGATTTTACAGAAGACCAATACATATTCAGGCAGGTAAGAGCACTGTTGTCAGTGTATGGTTTGATGTAGTGCCCAGGAACTGACTGTCAACAGACCCAATGAGGGAAGGTACAGTCAGTGGATAAGAAGGAAGGCACGGTAAAAGTAAAGACGGAGAGAGTGTCACCTCTGAATGCTGTGAGGTGACTTCCTGCATGCTGCTTAGACTTTCTCATTTCAACAATGATCTGATGATAAATCTCTGATGATACAATCAAGTAATTTAAGGTTAATGCCAAGCTAAAATACATTTATATTTGATGCCTTTTGAGAGTTTAAACATTTTTCTCCCTTTTTAAATATGTTCTTTCAGGTGTAGAAAATTTAAAAAAAAGAGGAAAACGTTTTATTACTTACTCAACCTTACTAAATTTTTCCAAACTTTAAAAAGCATTTAGAATGAGCTATACACCTGAACTGTACAGTCCATGTTGTCTTTTTCACAATCATCCTGTGTCCACGGAACAAAACTGCATCTCCACTGCCCACTTGACATTCTTTTGAAGCCAGTAAATATTTTCAGATGATCTTGTGTTTTAACACTGAAAGAGTGTCAAGTGTTCCTCAACCACAACCTCTAGTCCAAATTACATGTTAAACTCTCAAAGAAACGCTGCTCTATTCAACAGAAAAGAAAAGCAAACTAACTAACCTATTAATATAGTTGCCGACCTCTGTGGAAGGATAAATCAAAGTAAGGTCACATAACCAGATACAGAAAAAAAACGAAGACTGTAAAGAGAAAGACGAGAAACTCTCAAGTGGACGGCCTTGGGATCCTACACTTAAATGCACGTTCTCTCACAGACATACACCAAACAGCCTCTTGTTATAACCTTGATAGAAAAAGACAGCTGATTAATAGAGTAATACTGCTGCGTGGGAGTTCAGTTTAATCCCCTGTCTCTCTCATCCTCGCCCCCTCTGCAATAACAATACAAGGTTGGCAGTGGAATCCACTGAGCTAACGGCTTAAGCACCTAACCTTGGCATGCTCAGTAATAGCTGCCGCAGTCCTCAATGGCTGCAGTGACGAGATGTTCCTTTAAAAAATTTGAATGCCTTCAATGACAACACATTCGCAGTCTTTGCAACCCAATCACGGACCTCATCTTCAAGCTATATGGTCTTAAAAAAAAAAAAAAAAGAAAGAAAAGAAAATGCATCTGTCACTCTCAATCCTGCGCTTTAATGCAGATGAAAACGCAGCCTTTTCTCTCTGCATGTTTTCAATAGAAATGAGATATCACAAAGACATTTTAATAGAGAAATTAAGTTCCAAATGGATATACTTTGGATGTCCTTTTTGAAAGTTCTCAACACAGTGCATAGCATGATATTCTGTGGATCCTCATTGTTTTATGTACACTGTAGAAAAAAAAAAATAAAACTGTGACTCTTAGTTAACTGTTCAGGAGTAACCACACTAGCTGATTTATTATCTTGATTTAAAGACATTGAGTAGAGGTGTAAGGAGAGTCTTTCTGATAGCACTGATGTGCTATGTGTCTGTCTTACAATTAGAAATTATATGTTAGTATAGAATTACTATCATTCTATCATACTAATCATTTTTATTAAGGAGCATCTATTTTTTGCTCTCCCATCCCTCTATAGGTGTATTTATTTGATTTAATTTATCTTTAATCAGACTGTAGATACAACTGAGCTTGTATTTCAATTATTACCCCAAAATTTTACCTATCTGTTGCAAGCAATAGAATCTAGTATTAAGTAAGTTAAGTATTTACGAATTCATTTTTAGACAATCTGCCATGACATGTGTGTGGCCTGTTGTTTTCATATCCCATTAACACTATCAGAATATAACCGATAGGATGGACACTTTCTGATAGCCCATGGCCCTGTAATCAGCAGAGGTAGAAGTGTGAATTTAAGCGCTTGTCTGTGTCTGTCAAGAACATTATAGTTACATGAGAGCCCAAGCGATCATGCAAGTGATGAGTTCACGTATTTCCCTGTAGTCTATGCCCTGGTAATCACCTCACAGGTATATTAAACCTAAATCCCCCCTGAGTGTCCCACAATGTGTATCACCTGACACTTTACAGTGTGATCCCATTTGTTCACACTTCATGGCCCACGTGCTGATTGGGTTCAACAGTTCATAATGTAACAGTAGAGGACCCCATCTGGCAATGGGTTCAGCTCCATTTAACGCTGCAGTTGGCCAGCTCAGGAGCTGCTCAGCCAATCAGGTGAACTCTGACAGGGTTTTGACCGTAGCAGAGGAGAAGTGATCTAATGAGACTGTATCCACTACAAGGGGTTAAAAGTTGAGATGAAGCAAATTGTCAGAGCAAAATAGCATTGAGTGACAACTTGTGCAAACCCAATATGGAAGCCTACTGTGGCTTCATTCATTGTTGTATGGTCAGCTAACAGGTGGCTCGTAAGTATGTACAATTTATGGATCTATCTTGCTGTCTTTCCACCAGCACTGGCAGGTGGTTTGGGAATTATTTTCTTGGCACATATCAGGTCCCTAAATTAGAGTTTAGAGGGCTTCTTACCTTAACAATATGTTTGGCCAAATTAATGTACTCATCTTTCAAATGGAAATGTCTAGCAGGACAATTCTCCAACATCTCACACCAGTTCACCTAGGAACTTGACAGTAAATAAAGTTCAGTAGCCAGTACTTTACCACAAATAATTGCCTGGTGTAATAAAGGACAGGAAGACAGTGTGTAATTAAAATGTAATCAGTTTACCTGCTGCGTTACAGGATAATTACACCACATGGATTAATAGCATGTGGAGGTTGAAGAGCAATCCAGCTTTTATTCATTTCACTTCTATATTGAATATTTATTGAGCAGGAAATAGTACTTGTTAAGCACTAGAGGACTGGCCATCGGGAGAGTTGACAGATTTCCCGGTGGTCTGAGGACTGTTTTGGCCTGGTAATTGTCAACTTAAGCAGCAGCGATAATATGGCTAGCGAGTGGGACCATCGGCGCATCCACCTTGTCTGCGATCTCCCTCTCTCTTTCTTTGCCGGTGTTAAAGGGGTCATATTATGCTTTTTGACTTTTTCCCTGTCCTTTATTGAGTTATATATCTTTTTTGTGCATGTAATAGTTTTGCAAAGTGAAAAAGTCCACCCCAAAGGGAGTTCCCATCACCCACAGAAAATACTGCTCTGAACTGCCTGAATACAGCTCGTTTGTAGTAAAGCCTTTTCTTTCACTTCCGTGTGAAGTCACAAGAAAACATCATAATGCTCGCCTAGCGGCTAGTTAGACACACCCTCGAACAAACAGGTGGAAAAACACTCTGAGCTGCAGCACACAGTGACAAGATATCCGCCTGCTGCCTCTCCTCTCCCTTCCAAACATTAACTACCCTCCAGACAGTCAACGGACATAAAGTTGTTACTGTGATGTAGAGACAGAGCACAGTTATAACTTTGTTGAATGTTATGAAGCAAACAGCGGCAGGTCCGAGCTACTGTAGCGTTAACTGCCTGCATCACTAAAGACTTTTAGAAGTCAGATGCATCACTCCATAGCTAAAACGGAGTGTTCATGGTGTTTTTTTAAAAATTAAACCATGTAAACCTATTCTGGTACAACCCCTTGTGGCCAACTGTGTGTAAGCTCATAAAGTGATCATATTATGCTCATTTTCAGGTTCATCATTTTATTTAGCGTTTGTGTGTATAAAGCCTTTTCAGACAGGGAGCGACTCTTCTCCTGCAAACTCTTTTAGATCCGCGTGGTCTCACTGCGCTCCTCATGTGATCAGAAAGGCAAACAAGCGCTCCGCAAGGAAACACCAC